AATATTAAATACAAATAAAAAAAGAGAAAAAAATCAAGAGAAGCAAAAGAATTAAAAAATTTTGTTGAAATTTTTGTAGTTTGTAATAATTTTTTTTTGCGATATTTAGCTTGAATTTAATTGTATTATCTTTCAATTTCTAAATATGTTTGGTGACTAAAATATATATTTTTAATAAAAATATCTGTTTAATAAATCTGTTTGGTTTAAATGCACCAAAATGCATTGCTTATAATCATTAAGAAATGGATACAAATTTTAATTTTCGAAATGGGGTGTACTCAATTTTGCTGAGCACTGTACAATATATATTTTTGGCTTTACATATATAATGTGACGTACATGTCGCATTATCACACACAAAAAATGTAGCACCAACACAAATTTGCACATGTGAACCATGTGACACGAGCATCACATTATGGAATACATATGAGCAATTCCAGCGTTATGGATGTGACATTTATAGAAAAAAACTCAACACATATTCACAGAGAAAGTAGATGTTAACATTATATTGAAACATTTGTTTATATTTTCCAGAACAACAGACCAAAGAGTTCAGTGAGCAAAAAAATATCAGTCTGTAAACATGTTTTGTACTTTAAATGAGGAAAATAATCATATGGATGTGACCAAAAAAGTCTGCAAGTTTACGGTGTACAACATACTTTGTAGAAAGTCAGTGAATTAAACTGCACAACCCAAAAGAAACAATGCTAATCAGAAGGATGAGAGTCGGCTCTCTATAAAACAAAAATGATTGGTTTTATTTTATTTAATATTTTCACATTTATGAGGAAAAAGTGTCGTTATGGATGTGACATCTCTTTGTTATGGATGTGAGATGTGAAATTGCCACTTGTGTCACTTTGGTAAATCAAATATAATTGTTTGAAAACATTGACAGATGCATCTTTGAGTATTTCTAAAGTCAGTAAAATACTTGCTTGCACAAAAAAATCCAGAAACGATTTGAAACTAAAAATAAATTCTGGCAAGGTTGACATTTGCATGGAATTGCTCATATATATAAACGATTAGTTGTTGGTGGTTCATTCCGTTGTGGCGACCCCTGATGAATAAAGGGACTAAGCCGAAGGAAAATGAATGAATTGTTACTTTCATTTGAGTGTGACTTGAACTTGAATCTGGAAGAAATCTCACTGTCTGAAGCAGTCTTCTTGTAGGAGGGTCCTGAGAGTGTCCAGATCTCCCAAATGAGCAGCGTTGTGTAGACGTGTGTCCTCACTCTGTTCCAGAGGCCTGTTACCAAACTGCTCCTGGAGCCAGTGTGTCAGGTTACGGCCTATCAGAGAGCCAGATCACATCAGGTAAATAATTAACAAATTATTTGAGAGGTCATTGAAAAGCTCAGGTTTGTATCTGAACATGTTTGCATTAATATGTTTTGTTCTCATATAGAGTTGTGTGACTGTTTCTTAATGCTTACTGAAATTAAAAAAATTTGATACATGTTTAATTTGTACCCTGCTTATAACCTATGATACAATATACTCATCCATATTGTAATCTACCAGGCTGTTAGCTTCAGAACATAAGTATTTTGTATCATTGGTTATAAGCAGGGTACACATTATACATTGATGATCAACTTTTTTGTAATATTAGTTTGCGTAATACATTCTTCACTGAACCAAATGTATATATTCAATTCAGTTACATCTAATTACATCAAGGCGGCATGGTGGCTCAGTGGTTAGCACTGCCACCTCGCAGCAAGAAGGTCGCTGGTTCGAGTTCCAGCTGGGTCAGTTGGGGCATTTCAGTTTCCCCCACAGTCCAAAGACATGCACTATAGGTGCTTTGAGTAAACTAAATAGTCCGTAGTGTACGTGTGAGAATGAGTGTGCATGGATGTTCCCCAGTACTGGGTGGCAGCTGGTAAGACATTCGCTGTGTGAAACATATGCTGGAAAGTTGGCGGTTCATTCCGCTGTGGCGACCCCTGATAAATAAAGAAACTAGCGACGCGGTGGTGAAGTAAGTAGTGCTGTCAAAGCAAGAAGGTCGCTGGATCAAGCCTCGACTGGGTCAGTTGCCGTTTCTGTGTGGAGTTTGCATGTTCTCCCCGTGTTCGCATGGGTTTCCTCCGGGTGCTCCGGTTTCCCCCACAGTCCAAAGACATGTGATATAGGTGAATTGGGTAGACTAAACTGTCTGTAGTGTATGAGTGTGTATGGATGTTTCCCAGAGATAGGTTGTAGCTGGCAGGGCATCCCCTGCGTAAAACATATGCTGGATAAGTTGGCGGTTCATTCTGCTGTGGCGACACCAGATAATAAAGGGACTAAGCCGGAAAGAAAATGATTCAATTAATGTTTTAAGAGATACTGAGGGTATTCTGACCTACAGTAACTTCTAATTGGCTATTTTGGCAGACGTGTGATTCTCAAATGCAATTTATTTTTATATGAAACAAACGAGGACAAATTTGCATTATGTGACAACAAGCTTTCATGCGTGTTTGTCACTTAATTTTTTAAAAGCTGCAAACATTCAGTTTTGCACAAAGCAAACTGTATTAAAAGCACAGGTTATAAATGTGTGTACAGGGTGATGGGTGGTGGTAATATTTGTTATTTTGCTTAAAGATTATATTTTCGTCCATCAAAAGTTATGCAAAATATTTACATTTTATCCAAGAAATATTAATAATAAAAAAATGTGCCCCTAATTATCACAGGCAAAAGTTTACACCCCTTGATTTTTCAATGTACAACGTTTCGTTCTGAAGCATCAATGAATATCTTGGAACGTTCTAAATGTTCACTGTGAAAAAAGCTTAAAACACAACGTTATATTGTTCAATTTATTTATGGAGTCAGGGTCTGTTTTTTTTTTTTAACAATAGTGTTAATCACAAGTAAAGTTTGACAGAAATTTTGGTTTCCCTGGTCAGTGTTAAGCTAAGTTAGGCCACATTAAGCTGTTTCCTTATAATGGACTTACAGGGAGAAAGCTTTAAGTTATACTGTTCACTTGATACGCTAAAATAAAAGCTTGTTCTTTTAACAGCAGAAAGTGTTTATGAGTATATTTTTACAGACATTTGATTGTCTCTGGATGTCGTTAAATTAAACCACATTAAGCTCTTATAATGGACTTCAAAGGGGAGAAAACGCTTAACGTGACATTGTTCACTTGATCCACAGAATCAGGGCTTGATCTTTTGCTAGTAGTTAATAGGCATTGGCCGGTATAAGATTCTGACAATATGATAACCTTGGATATAAATATCACGCTTTCACGGTATTGAGATTACTGCTTTAAAATATATTCTTTTTAAATATCGGCGTAAAAAACAAAACCTTTTTCCCCTTTGAACACAATATATTTTAATTTGGGAAACATTCAATATTTTGGAGCAGTAAACATGTCAGACTAAATAATTCAAATGAATTATTGACTTCTGCTGTCTTCATAAGTTTCAAAAACACAGATGTCTTTACAATTTAAAACGGCATCTTTGGATATACTTTCTGCAGGAGATACTGTTGTCCTAAAAAACAAAACAAAAACAAAAAGTAAATAAAAATCTTACTCATCCCGTAGGAACGGTACAACAGAAAATTTTGACTGTTTTAAAACCTTGATTTTTTAAAACCATCCCTGCTAAAAAATCCAGCTTAAACCAGCCTAGGCTGGTTGGCTGGTTTTAGCTAGTCGACCAGGCTGGTTTTAGAGGGGTTTTGCCAACTTCCAGGCTGGTTTCCAGCCATTTCCAACCTTGTCTTAGCTGGTCAGGCTGGGAGATGACCAGCTAAAACCGGCTTGACCAGCCTAGCCAAGCTAGGAGTCCAGCCAAAACCAGCTATATCCAGCTTAAACCAGGCTGGTCAAGCTAGCTTTAGCTGGATTTGGCTGGTCATTTTCCAGCCTGACCAGCTAAGACCAGGCTGGAAAGGGTTGGAAACCAGCCTGGAAATGGCCAAAACCTCTTTAAAACCAGGCTGGTCAACCAGCTAAAACCAGCCAACCAGCCTAGGTTGGTTTAAGCTGAATTTTTCAGCAGGGATGGTACAACTTAAACACGGTTATCGTCCCATGCCTAGTAGTTAGTGTTAATTACAAGCAAAATTTCAAAGATTTTTGGTGTGCCACAATTGTTGACGTACGTTAAGCCATGTTAAACTTTTAAAATTCAAACTCATAACGTGATAATTTTTACTATCTAAAATTACAGCTCATTCTTTTATCAGAAAGTGTTTGCCATGAGAAAAATACCATAGAAATTAAATTTCCCCCGCTTGTTGTTAAAGAACATTAAGCCACGTTAAGCTTTTTCCTTATAATGCACTTCAATGGGGAGAAAACGCTTCATGTGATGTTTTTCACTTCTTCTATGGAATTGGGACTCGTTCTTTTACAGTCGTTAGTGTTAATTAACAGTGACATAAAAGTGGTTGATGTTTAGGTGTACATTAAGCCAAGCTTTTTTGCAGGTTAAGAGTTTTAGAATGTCCCAACACTTTCACCATTTGTAACACATTTTTATGAATCAACAAATCATAAATACAATGACAGAAAAAAAGGTCAACAATCGAATTGTTTTTGTTCACCACTAATCTTTCCCGTGAGTCTCGAAGGTTGCGAATTTGGGAGTGAGACACTTTCTGTTTCAAATGAGTGTATTATCAGTCATGCGATGACACAAAACATTTTGTATATACATATTTACTTCACGTCCAACAATTATGTCCTGCGTAGTTCCTTAGATCTGCACTGAACATAATGTCATATTAAACAACTTTAAACATGTGATCCTTTTGACGTTCATGTTTTGAATAAGACAGACATTCGTTTGGAGGTATAACGACATACCAGCTGCACCACAGCCTTCAACTGCAACATTTTCACTATCAGTCATCATGTCCTGTGCTTCTACTTCTAAAGTAATATCTTCTGTAAGCCACAATAACTCGATAAAATACTCGATGCTGTTTTTAGCAGCTGAACAGACTCACGGCTGCGTCACTGTAAGAGCTTCTCTGATTTGCTGATTCTGGCTCAGGCACGTCTGGTCTTAAAGAGACAGTTACCACACAAAATGAATGAATGTTTGTAAACATATAGACGAATTACCATGTTTGTAAACATTCAAGATGCGCGCGCAGCGAGGTTGCAGAAAAAAACAGGAGCGCTAGCATTTACAGTGAGGGAATGTCATCTGATGTGGTACAAAGTTTGTTGTTGTCTTAGAAATATGTTATATTGATTTCATATTATATATAATATTTACATAATGCTTTCCGTGTATTATAAGAGCTTGTCACTCAAGTTATTCTGCAAAATTAATGTTGAAGTGAGCAGCATTGGTCTGACAGGTCCATTTGCGATAGCACCCTCCCAATGAGTATTGGATAAGACGAAATGACCAAGCATCCAGCCCGAAATACACAGTCTTATTAAAGCTCCAAGTGTTTTAACAAAAGAACAGTTAAAGGCCTTAGTACATTGTGTCTGACATTGCATCGCTGAGTGATGCAATCTCAGCTTGCATCATAAAGGCTGCATCCAGATACTATTGCTGAGGTTGGCATTAAAGCAGTGTGGTGTACAGTAAAAGTTATGTTTTCTATTTTTGGACTTTCAAATTTGGCATCCTACTGCACAACACAACATGTTTGCTATTCCAACGGGTCTCTTTTTGCAATCGGGAGCCTGTGTGACGCAAGTTGGAAATTCCTCTATATGCACAGTTAGTGTTTTTCAGCCAATGATAAACTTTCGGTGAAAGCTTAACATAGATATATACACAAGAGATCACATACAGACCCTGAGCATGCGTCAATATGGCTGCCACATTGGTACAGTGCTCCCAGGACAAATGTCATTCAAACGCACTAGTCAAGACTAAAGCCAATGTGAAGATACTGGACTTTTGCACTACTTACAGGCGTTGTTACAAGCAAACAAAGCACAAAGGAAGAACATTTCATATTTAAGATTGAGTTTTTTTTTACTTTTTGTATGTTATGAACTTTTGTGCTGAACAAGTAACACTTTTGATGATAATACAGTCACTGCCCTGACCATAAATCTACTGGGATTTTCATGTACAACCATCTCTAGGGTTTACCTTGTTGATGCCAGAGATCAGAGGAGAATGGGCAGACTGGTCCAGCTGATAGAAAGGCAACAGTAACTCAAATAAACTCGTTACAACTGAGGTCTGCGGAAGAGCATCTCTGAACACACAACACGTCCAACCTTGAGGCAGATGGGCTACAGCAGCAGAAGACCACACCGGGTGCCACTCCTGTCAGCTAACAACAAGAAACTGAGCCTACATACAGGCTCACCAAAATTGGACAAAAGAAGATTGGAAAAACGTTGCAGAAAATGTCTTGATTTATGATGGTATGATTTCATTTGGATGGTAAGGTCAGAATTTGGCGTCAACAACATGAAAGCATGGATCCACCCTGCCTTGTATCAACAGACTTGTATCAATCACAGGCTGGTGGTGGTGTAATGGTGTCTGAGATATTTTCTTGGCCTACTTTAGGCCCATTAGTACCAATTGAGCATCGTGTCATCTCCAAAGCCTACTTGAGTATTGTTGCTGACCATGTCCCTTTATGACCACAGTGTGCCCATCTTCTGATGGCTACTTCCAGCAGGATAACACGCCACATGATGAAGCACGAATCATCTCAGACTGGTTTCTTGAACATGACAATGAGTTTACTGTACTTAAATGGCCTTCACAGTAACCAGATCACAATCCAATAGAGCACCTTTGATATGTGGTGGAATAGGAGATTCACATCATGGATGTGCAGCCGACAAATCGGCAGCAACTGTGTGATGCTATCATGTCAATATTGAGCAAAATCTCTGAGGAAAATTTACAGCACCTTGTTGAATTTATGCCATTAAGGTTTAAGGCAGCCCTGAAGGCAAAAGGGGGTCCAACCCAGTACTAGTAAGGTGTACCTAATAAATTGGCCGGTGAGTGTACATTCTCTGTACCTTTACGTTTCAAGTTTTTACTGCAAATGTCACATAGATAATGCTAAAATTGCTTCTATGTAGTTTATTTTTTTATCAGTAGTGGACTGCGATTTCTGAGTAATCTACTTGGGTCTGATAATAAGTATATGCTTAAGTTTTACATAAAATTAATGACAAATGAAACAATATTTGAATATTTAATTATTAAAAACATTGTTTGAAAAAAATTAAATAGTTTTAAATAGCATTTTTGAGGGAAAGTGCCAAACCTGGACATGTTTTCCACAGTTTAGTCATAGACTGGTGGTCAGTGCAAATTTCATTCCAGTTTAGCGTGATCCTAAAAAAAAAAAAAAAAAAAAAAAAAAATCAAACAAAACTTGAATCTCTGTGGTAGGTGAATTGAGTCTGTCATTGTTGGAGGTTTATACTGAAGAGCCACAGACGCATGCCGTATTGCTGCATGGAGACAGCTGAACCATGAACACTGGCCTATGGGCTTGAAAAATAAACAGGGAGGCTGACGGACACATGAGTCTCTGAGGAGAACTGGACCGTAGGGAGCTACAACTCTCTGAACACACACATCAGTCAGAAAAACAGCAATACTCAATATAATACAGTGCCTGAAAATAGTCGCCAGATAGGCAACAGTGCTGCATAATATCATTGTGCTGCCGCAAAACTCAAAGCTGTGATTATTAAACAACGAGTATACACCGATAGAAATGATTAATTGTATTTATTAACATTTTTTTTAAGGTAAGCTATTGCAAACATTTTATATGGGCTGAATTTAGACAAATTAAGTTGAACAATTTTTAAACTTCATTTGTTTAAATTCAGCCCATACACATTGTTTGCATTGCAACCACTTACCTTAAAAAACCCATTGAATCATTTTTTTTTCAGTGCAGTTCTTAGTGATATCGACCTAGATAACATCAACTTTTCATTTTCCAACAGTCTTAGTAAACAATGTGACTATAGAAGGGTCTAGCAATAAATAGGAAAATTATTATTATTTTTTTTGAGAGATGCTAATGGTCTAATCTGATTCAATTGTTTATGCTAAGCTAAAAGTGAATGGATAAGAAAAATGGTAAAACTCAGTTGTTTAACTCTAGGGAATTTGTAAAATGGGCCTATTTATCAATAAAGGGGGAGTGTTCCTTTAAGACTAACATATTGACAAAAGCCTGTGGACAAATTTTATGTTATGATGCATTTAGTTTCTTCTGACAGCCCATATAAATTGTGTGCAACCACTTGCCTTCAAAAAAAATTTGTAAATACAATGAATTTAGTGTAGTTCCAACTTTTCATTTTCCAACAGTCTTAAAAAACAATGTGACAGAAGAGTCAAGCTTTAAATAGGAAAATTATTAACCTTTTTTTTTTTTAGCAAGATGCTAATGGTTCAAAAGCTAAGCTAAGCTGGTAAAACTCAACTTGTAACTCTAGTGAACTTGTAAAATGAGTTTTATTTCCAAATAAAGGGTAAGTGTTGCTTTAAGACAAACATATTAATAATAATAAAAATGCAATCTTGATTTTATCAGGACTTAAGTATCTTAACATTTTTAGTCAGTGTGATCGATGTAAGTTGAAAAAACTTAAAAAGTTAATTTGATTCAACAAAAAAATGTAGGGCAGCAAGCATAGGAAAATGATCTAAACTTTTTTTAGCAGGATGCTAATGGTCTAATCCGATTCAATCATATATGCTAAGCTAAACTAAAATTAATTGATTAAAAAATGGTAAAACACAACTGTTTAGCTCTAGGTCACTTTTAAAATAAGCCTATTTCCAAATGAAGGTGGAGAGTTCCTTTAAGACCTACATATTGATAATAGGATAAAAAAATATATTGATTTATCGGAACTTTAAAGCAAGCAAGTAAGCAAAGTAGAAGCAAAAACAGTCAGTCCATATAAATTGTTTACAACCACTTACCTTAAAAAAACAAAAATTGTAAATCCAGTGAATCATTGTTCAGTGCAGTTCCAGGCCACATCAACCTAGAAAATGGCAACTTTTCATTTTTTATTAGTCTTAGTACACAATGTAACTACAGAAGAGTCAAGCTTTAAATAGGAAAATTATCCAACTTTTTTTTTTTTTAAGCAAGATGCTAATGGTCTAATCCGATTCAATTATATATGCTAAGCTAAACTAAAATGAATTGATTAAAAAATGGTAAAACACAACTGTTTAACTCTAGGTCACTTTTAAAATAAGCCTATTTCCAAATGAAGGTGGAGAGTTCCTTTAAGACTTACATATTGATAATATTAGGATAAAAAATATATTGATTTATCGGAACTTTAAAGCAAGCAAGTAAGCAAAGTAGAAGCAAAAACAGTCGTCCATATAAATTGTGTACAACCACTTACCTTAAAAAAACAAAAATTGTAAATCCAGTGAAGCACTGTTCAGTGCAGTTCCTGGCCACATCAACCTACAAAATGGCAACTTTTCATTTTTTTATTAGTTTTAGTACACAATGTAACTACAGAAGAGTCAAACTTTAAATAGGAAATTATCCAACTTTTTTTTTTTTAAGCAAGATGCTAATGGTCTAATCCGATTCAATTATTTATGCTAAGCTAAACTAAAATGAATTGATTAAAAAATGGTAAAACACAACTGTTTAACTCTAGGTCACTTTTAAAATAAGCCTATTTCCAAATGAAGGTGGAGAGTTCCTTTAAGACCTACATATTGATAATATTAGGATAAAAAAATATATTGATTTATTGGAACTGTAAAGCAAGCAAGTAAGCAAAGTAGAAGCAAAAACAGTCAGTCCATATAAATTGTTTACAACCACTTACCTTAAAAAAACAAAAATAGTAAATCAGTGAATCATTGTTCAGTGCAGTTCCAGGCCACATCAACTTAAAAAATGGCAACTTTTCATTTTCCATTAGTCTTAGTACACAATGTAACTACAGAAGAGTCAAGCTTTAAATAGAAAAATTATCCAACCTTTTTTTTTTTTTTTTAGAAAGATGC